AAATAGTTTTTATTTAAATATTTCGAACAATATTTGATGTATAACAGTGAAAATTGCTATACGCGGGTTTTTTGGTACGACAAAACGAACCATGGGCATAGTTTTACTGTACCCGCTGGAGGGCGCTCTCTACTGTACCTGTAGTGTATTAAAATGACCGAAAAATTTTTCTTAGTGCAATTTTTTGCTTTTTGAACAAAAAAACTGATTCTCCGCACTTTTCAACATAAAAAAGCTCTCTTGTGAATTTTCGTTATAGTTAGCCGTTTTTGAGATATTTCGATTTTTAAGGTTCGATGCATTTTTAATTATTCATGATAAAATAACGTTAAAAAGTCAGTATCTCGATAAGTAGGCTGTGCCTGCAAACATTTTTGTAATTGAAAGCAGAATAAGGTTAAACGTCAATTAGTTGACAGTTAGTTTTGTTGTCTGTTGAAACCTGAAACATTTTTTTGCAATTGTGAATGCACGAAATTTAGTTACCTTTACCTGTTTTTTTTTTGTAACTTTTATAAAACTGACATTTTTATTCTCCAATCAACAGTTAGCGGATATTCATTTTGTGTATGGCTTTGTAAATGGAAACGCAGCAGAAGCAGCCAGGGAATACGCACGAAGATTTTCAAACAGACGACATCCAACTCGCTCAGTATTTGTAAGAGTGCATCGCCAAATAATTGAAAATGGTTTTGGACATCTCCAAAGGGATCAAAACATCAATGTTCGTCAGCGCAGATTTACCCGTATGATTCTGCGTGAGTTTGATAGAGATCCGACCACAAGTGTTAGGAGAGTTTCCCGTGCCTTGGGAATTTCAGCAAGCCATGTTCACCGTGTTCTTAGAAATGACCATAGACGTCCTTACCATTTGCAACCTGTGCAAGGACTACAGCCAGGGGACGGAGAACGAAGAATCACATTTTGTCAGTGGATTCTTGATAGAACTGATAATAATAGGGAGTTTTTAAGTAACGTTTTATGGACCGATGAGTCATGCTTCACTAGACGTGGAGTGCTAAATTTTCATAATCAACATATTTGGTCGCATGAAAATCCGCATGCAGTTCGGGAAAGAACTTTTCGGCATGAATTTAGTGTGAACGTGTGGATTGGTATCTACCGTAATCGACTATTTGGACCCTACGTTTTGCCTGCAAGGTTAAATGCTGAGACCTTCTTGGAATTTTTAAAGGCTGAACATGCAAATATGTGGGATGATGTTATGTTAGATTTAAGAACATCGGCCTGGTTCCAGCTTGATGGTTGTCCAGCTCATTATTCGAGAATAGTTACAAACTGGCTGGACGAAAATTATCCAGAAAGATGGATCGGCCGTGGAGGAGCGTCGCCTGGCCTCCACGATCCCCTGACCTAAATCCATTAAATTTGGGAGGGATTTCTAAAAGAAAAAGTGTACCAGACTCCCGTAACCACAAGAGATATGCTAATAGACAGAATCAGGAATGCATGTGATGAAATAAGGCCTTATTTGAATAATGCTATACCACGTTCGATCATTCGTAGATGTGAATTATTGTGTATTGAACAATTGAGTTTACATTTCGAGCAACTACTTTAGATTTTATATGTTTGTCCTAACTATCCAGTAGCATTTAAGATGTTAATAATTAATTTAATTTGTTAAAAATAATATTGGAAAATTATACAAATTAATATTCTGTTTTTATTTTGTGTTTATTTGGAGTTAGGAATTATTGCTATGTTTAAAAACACAATCTAAACGATCATTTTAATTACTTGTAATGCCCAAATGGAAAATTTAAAAAAAATATACTTTTCCCATAAATAATTAAAAATGCATCGAACCTTAAAAATCGAAATATCTCAAAAACGGCTAACTATAACGAAAACTCACAGGAGAGCTTTTTTATGTTGAAAAGTGCGAAGAATCAGTTTTTTTATTCAAAAAGCAAAAAATTGCACTAAGAAAACTATGCCAATGGTTCGTTGTGTCGTACTAAAAAACCCTTGTATGCCAATTTTCACTGTTATACATCAAATATTGTTCGAACTATTTAAAAAAAACTATTTTAGAAAGTAAATTTAAACACCCTGTATCTCGGAAGTCACGAATTTTTCGACCCATGTTTATATAGGCTTTATGCATTAATTTTAAAAGTTCTATCGAATCTCAAAGTTATGCAACAATAAACTGAAACACCCTGTATTTATACGCTACGGGAATTATATGCGCCTATTAGATATATTTCCCACATACGTTTCGTCAAATACGAGGTCTGTAAATGAGGTGATGAAACTGACAACGTAGCGTTCGATTTGGCAACACTGGAGACGCCGGGTTTCAAGGGTAGACAAGGGACATGTGATCCGCCTTCAGTACAAGTTTGAACTTGCTCGAGCCATGTGACTTGAGTCATTGTGGCTTTTTTCTTTCTCCCTAGTTGAAAAGTCGTCTTAAAGGAACTCATTTTGGGACAGTCTTAAACTTTCACACAGCTGAAACCGTCCAGCTGAAGGCTATTATAGTATAGGAGTTCCAGCACTGCTATGAGGAGTGGAAGAACCTTCTCCAGTGCTGTGTGACTTCAGAAAGAAGATATTTCAAGGTTGACAATATAACATTGTTTGATAAAAAATTAAAAAAATCTCATTTCCAGATTTCGTATTAGTCTTTAAAATATATATTCCCAGTACATCGTTGCACTTTCTCAATTGCCATTTCTTGTTTGGAGTATTATGAATACCGAATAATTGACGCATATTCTAATTTTGAGCCAAACGATTATTTGCTTATGTACAAAAGAAGACAATGAGTCGTACTTATCAATGCTCAAAGTATATTGTCAAACAGCATTGAGACTTGTGCCTGACCATACACGATACCCCTCCTAAACTCTTGGACTAGGCTTGATTGTTACACTGATAAACACAGGATTCGTAACATGACAATTTTTGGGTGTGTCTTATGTATTTTGGGACCCAAAAAACATATCTAAAAACAGAATTTTTCTATCACCAACAGATATTTCGTAACATCTACTTTTATGAATTACAATACGTTAAGACCTGTCTATCCCTGTTTGTTATATCTAAGCTCTATGTTTAGAGGGCATATTGTGCTTATTAGTAGACTAATAGCAGCCGAGTCAGTTACGTTTTTTGTGTTGAAGTGTACTGAGATGTTCTGAGTACTGTTAATTTTTGTTAAAACGGTGTGTTGTTTTTAGTTTATTGTGATCGAGACTAGCTTTATGGACAATGCCTAAAAATTGTGTATAGAGTGCGCACAGTTTTTGTTATGTGTGCGGAGAGCTAACTCTCAATCCCAAAAACGTACTTTTACTCCTTTCGTGTTGAAAGCATACAAACTTTATTTTGGAATTAAATTTGGCGACCAAGATAAACTATGGGCCCCTCATATATGTTATAAGACTTGTGTTACGTTGTTGACATGTTGGTTAAGAGGCGACAATCGTAAAATGGTTTGGAGAGAACCGAGAGACCATACTACTGATACTTATTTTTGCCTCACAAGTATTAAAGGCATTGGACCAAAATCGAAACATACTGTTAATTTTTTTTTGATTTACCTTCAGCTTTGCGGCCCGTTAAGCATAGTGATGAACTTTCTGTCCCTGTTCCACCAGAATGTTGGTTTTTGAATGAAAAAGTCGAATCCACCGATTCTGGAAGTGATGGTACAGAAAGCGTAAAAATTTCCGATCCTTCGTTTGATCTGCCAGGATGTTCAACAGCGCCGCATTTTATCACACAGGGCGAACTTAATGACTTAGTTCGAGAATTAAATCTGTAAAATCCCAGTCAGAACTTTTAGCGTCAAGATTATAACGATGGAATCTTCTCCACGGTGATGTTAACATTACTTTTGACCTAAAGCGGCAACAAGACCTCACAAACTGATTCCGTCAAGAAAGGGAGTTGATATATTGCTTTGATGTCAACAATTTAGGACAAAAACATGATCCAAATGACTGGCGCCTGTTCATTGATTCCTCTAAGCTTAGTTTAAAAGCGGTGTTGGTACACAACGGTAATAAATATCGATCTGTACCTATAGCGCACGCAGTTCGTATGAAAGAATCATATGAAAATATGCGAGTTCTATTAGAGCATATCCGTTATAATGAATATGGGTGGGCCATATGTGGGGTAGTAGCTCTTCTTCTTGGAGTGCAACTGGGATATACCAAATATTGTCGTGTGCGAGATCGTCATTATGAACAGAAGGAGTGGACACTACGACAGGTATTAACTCAAAAACATTGCTCATGAACCACTAACGTGCTGCTTCCTTCTTTGCATATTAAGCTGGGACTGATGGACAATTTTGGAAAAGCTATGGATCCAAATGGAAGAAGGTTTCTGCATTTCAAACAAACATTTCCTAGATTTAGTGAGGCAAAAATTAAAGAGGGCATACCTATGGGTCCGGACGATTATAAAGATATTGTGAGTGAACTAATTGATGCTAATAAAGGAATGGAATGTATCATGTCTCTAAAAATTCACTTTTTGGATTCTCATCTCGATTTTTTTCCGGAAAATTTCCACCAAGGCATTTCTGCTAGGGAAAAACGGTATCAAGGCAAACGGAGTGTCACTTTGCATGCTGGTTATTGCTGGACATTGTTAAGAGTACTTCAGGAGCAACATATCGCCGTAAAAAATCGGCAACAACATTCTGAGATTAATGTTTATTGGAGTGTTTATTAGTACTCTTACACATATATCCTTATATTTTACGAGTATAAGCCAGCAAATAAAATGCCTTATTGCAAGTAAAAAATCGAATGCTATTTCCGGCTTTTTGGGTACGTTTTACATAATAACCACCTTGTTTTGTCCATGTCACCAAAATTTATTTTAATCTTGTTCAATAGTATGATGAGCGAACGTTTATATACTATCTGGAAAAATATGAGATTATTAAAATGTCCATACTCCACACGCTGCTCTTGAATCCTTAGCTTAAGCATAATAAATTGTTATTATAGATATTTGGGGTGTTTTAGAATTGACCAAGGTGGAATTCACCATTCCATCGGAGCACGTTCCAGTAAGGTGCCTAGCAAACTTTCAGTCTGTTTGCGGTTGCGTCCACCCTCTGGAGTTCGCCTCCCTGCGGACACGGCATCCTGGGGGGTTGGTGGGTGGAGTGGGGGAAGCGGGAAAGGGGGAGAGGGTCGTCCGGTAGTAGTCGGTCGCTGGTAACACGGTAAGACTTTGCTTACTTTGCGGGATTCTCTTTAGTGTTTAGTACGAGCAAAACATGATAAAGCGAAATTCTAATGGAGTCTAATCATATGAACAAATTTCTCCGGAGTAATTGGTTTTAGTGATGCAAGTTGCTCAAGGGGGTATTTAAAACATGGACACATAAAATGGGGGTAATTAGAGACACTTTTTGAGGTAATTCGTCCTATATCTCGCAAACTGGAAAAGTTAAATTTTTTGCCTAATTACCAAAAAAGGATCTTCGATGTACCAATTCGGATGTATTGTTTTTTCTCTTGTAATTGTTTCCACGTTTTTTTCTTTTTTTTCTTCAGTGTCTCTCTTTACCCCGCACAGGGGTTATCAGAGACGCATATCTTATTTCAATAGTTTGAGCGGTTTAAACCACACGGGGGCTCTGAGAGAGAGAAAATATGTCCTGTATTTGCATCCACGTATAACTATAACTTTTTTCTTACCAGGATCGTCCGTGAGGCTCGTTTCGTCGTAATTTAGAATATGGGTTGGTGGAACATCTTTAAGAGAGGCTTCTAAATAAGCAAAATACTCACAAATTGTTTCTTGAGAGACAGCAGCTCGCGATCGCTTAATATTCTGAAAAAATCTCTCTGACAACTGATCTTTGTGTCTAGCCAAAAAAGATTTTGCGAAGTCCGGTCCTGGCAAATTATTTCTGAACTGTTTAATGGTGGTTCCTTTTCGATCCAGATAATATTTCACTATACAACGAAGGTCCAATTTGTCAATCGGTGCTCGCCACTCTGAAGCTACGAGCCCCTTCCCACTTCAGTTGGCCCACTTCAAGATTTGTACCAAAATATGCCTTTATAAACTAAACATGACGAAACTATTTACTTCTAAAACAATTTATTTTCTCAAAAACATTTTAGATACACTCTAGTCGTAAAAAATACATATTTGAAATCACTTAGACCTATAACTAATAGAACATCTGAACAAATAAACAATGTGCGAATAAATGCGCGAAGTTAACAAAGCAACAATTGAAAGATTTCCATTGGGTAACATCACCTTTATTTTTTATTACGGCTGAAATTCTTTGGGGTATAGTGTTAACCAAGTTTTGGCAAAGATTTGGTGTAAAACAATCCCATATTTCTTGGAGCTTTTGTCTCAGTTCGGTGATTGTACGAGCAGGAAGTTGTCGTAGAACCTTTTTCTATTGAAGCATAGCATTATACTGAACATAAGGATCTGGCCAGTTGGTCATCGACCAGTGCCAATAACAGCACAAAAAAAAATAAATCCCGTGCCACAAAGTTTCAATAGGTGACAGATCTGGACTGCTAGACACCCATTTCAAAAGTGGTGCATTATTTTCTTCTATCCATTTTATAGCCTTTTTTGAGGTATGTCACGCTGCACCATCTGGCTGAAACACAAACTCTTGGCCGGATGTCAAACATTCTTCCATCACTGGTAAAAGCGATTCTTCTAAAATAGCCAGATATTTATTTGTATCCACATTTCCATCATCGCCAACACAAACTTCGAATCGGGCCTCATCACTCCATTGTATTGCACACCATTGTTGAGGTGTCGATTGTCTATGTTCTTTAGCCTATCTAAGCCGATTATGATAAAATGCAGGTTTTGGAACTTGTTGGTAATGCGACGATAATTTCACGCAACTACTTGATTCATACATCTGAATAACGACAACATAATTGGAGTATATTGGTCAAGCAGTTTTTTGAGAATTTCTAATTGTTTTTCCCAAAATACCTGTTTTCCGGCCATCACTACTAGTTTTTTGAGCAATATACAGGGTTAGTTCAAAGGACATTCATTTTATAGCAAGATACATTAGTTTATCTTGCCGATATGAAGCGCAAACCTTTCCGGATGATAAATGTTATTTTTATGCAAAAAATTATGGGTGCGTCTTTTCTTCTAAACAAACTCAAACATTTCGTATTTGTGAGTAATTGAACAAATGCGTTGCGATATCAGAAAAACGTACGTTACTATACATATTTTAAAACAAAGCGGATGTGTCTATCATCTTTCGTTGAGAATTGCTCACAAATTCGAAATGTTTGAATCTTTTAGGAGATAAAACGCAACCCAACATTTTTGCATAAAAATAACATTTTTCTTCCGGAAAGGTTTGCGCTCCCACAACAATTGGTGTACCCATTTTATGCATCCACGTTTTGAACAATTTGCACCAATAAAACCAGACTTTACAATTATTTCGCAAACCATGGGTATTTTCGTCTAATATGATTAGACTGATGTTGCAAGTAGAATCATAGGTACCCTTAGTACAGATTTGAAACTAATGCCTTCACGGCAAAGCCTTAATGTCAAAGTACCGCTCGTGCAATAGAGGAGATAAAAAATAGTAGTTCTGAGGTTCCACAATAGACAAGGAGATTGCGTCGATTTGGTGCTAGGGGTGGCAAATTTGTCCATAACCACAAATAGCTGTCAAAGCATACAATTCCTAAGTATGCACTTAGATCCGGGTTTGATTTTAGTCTACAAGTTACAGTCAGCATAGTTGTAGTCACCGTTCTTGGCGGGGCAAAGTAAGACTACCAGTACCCCTTTATACATCCCCACCCAGCTCATACATACACATGCCACATAACACCTACTTTATAAAGGAAAGTTAAATTAGTGATTTCGAAGGTATGTTTGGTAGGCAACCAAATAATCTTATATAGATAGTACGGACTACAACCACAGAGTGGCGCTGATGCTGGATTTTCTTGTCGTTCTTTTTGACAATACAATGTTCAATGCTTTGACGTTGATGTATTCTTAATTTTGAATTGAAAGTTGAATTTTGTGCTGCGCCTGCGTTTTTGTTAGTTTTGTGTCGCTCTACTGAGCGTCAAACTGAATTTAAATTTACAAACTTTATATTTGTAATGGGCTTATCGAATGCGGGGATTTAAGTGCGTGGTGCTTGATAGTACTAACATTTCCAAAATATGATGCAACTCTTTTTAACAAATGGATCGAGCAACTGCGAAATCCAGTTATGGACAATAAAAGTCACCAACAAGTTTATAAAAGACATTTGGTGTGTGACTCACGTTTTCCATAAAGCGATAAAGTGCCTGGAATCAAGAGAGGTCTTAAAAGAACAGCTTCTCCTACATTACATCTTCCTGAACTTTAATCTTCAAGTAAGTTATGACTTTGATTCCATAAATATAAAGCAGGTACATGCACCGTAATCAGTGAATAATTAGGATTAAATGATGTCCTAAGTACTTTCACAGTTTTAACGGTTTGCACAATCTTTGGAAAAATTTACCTAGCACCATCACAATGAAAATCATTCTTTTTTCAGGTATGGTTTCGGAAAATGTCCTGACTAGTCCCGAAACTCATGAAGGTAGTAGAGATATTGCTAATTATACATTTTGCGTGATACATCGGTAATACCGATTATTTTTAGATTACTAACAACTTGTATAACTGTTATTTTTATGTATTGTATTAAAGAATACACACTTAAAAAATAAAGTCAGGTTTTACTTGAAATATATTATTTATAATTTCAATATTTAATTCAAATTCAACTCTACTGTGTAAGATGGAAGTCCAACGATGGCGCTAGGTACTCTATATTTTAAAGGGTTCTATAACAATTCGTATAGGTTCTATAAAAAGTTAGACGTATATACCAGAGATGGCGCTACAAACTTAGTGACAAACCTTAGCATTACGGATTCCCTTATAAAGTAGGTGTTATGAGACACATGCAACCTACCCCTGTGTGTGAACATTTGTTCGTCAAGCTCAAAGGCATACATTTTTTGGTTGTGTCTCCGACTCGAAAACTTTGTCGTTACGTCCTTCAATCATATTTGTCAGAGTGACAACTTATTTGACATCGGTGTGCAAGTCGAACTGTCCTGTTATCAATCTTCAATATAAAATTGTATAATGCCCGGAAATACGAGCAATGGGGAAGGCCGACATCTCGTACGAAAACTATTAGAGTATTTCCAGGAAGAAAATGGAAACAGCAGTCCCTGTTACCCACTTCATGCGTACTAGAGAGAGTAGCAGGTGCGCTAAAGATTAAGATTCGCCTATGATTCGGAAAAGATCTGTTTACTTGTTTCATATGGCGTTGATCGTAACCGCCAAGAACGTTGACTACAACTATAGCAGTTTTGATGAACATGGTCAGTGTTGCTGTTGCTCTACAATGTTGGCAGCAGACTTTGTTATTGTGTGCGTTTCTGGGATATGAGTAAACATTTACAGAGTTTTGTAAGGAGGTTTTTAAGAATCTAAATATTCTAACCTTTCCCACCCTATTCATTTTAGAAATGTATGTGTATATATTTTTGAAAATATTAATAAACTGCCTTGTGTTAGTGATGTCCATGTCTATGTACACAACAAAGTAATTCTTATATGTACGTACCATATAGGAAATCGATTATAATTTGCATATACGACCCTGATTTCTTCGTATAAGACTGTACCTCGAACTGTTAAGTCGACTGTCAATTATTAATTTGTTTGTAAAGTCATTCAAGAAAATTTTAGTTGATCAATGTTTGTACGAGTTTGAGAATGTTGCCTTCTTACTTTTTTATATCTTATATACTAAGTGACATATAAATCCGAACACCCAGTTTAAATGGTTCTATTTTAATAAAATTTTGTATAAGTACTTAATGAAGCATAATAAGTAAATGATAACAATTTCAAAATGATTGCACTGCTTTAAAGCCCTTTGACCTTTAATAATGTGTGGATGGCATGCTTCTGATCAGGTGGTCAATGTCCTGCTGTGGTATCTCATTCCAGGCAACCACCAACTCCTCTCGAAGTGGTTCTAGAGTCTGAGGAGGACGTTGCAAATTGAGCAATCTCCTACCCATCATATCCCACACGTGCTCAATTGGGGACAAGTCGGGAGATCTTGGTGGCCATGGTAACAATGTGACATCATTATGTTGAAAGAAGTCTATTGTGACTCTTGCAACATGTGGTCGGGCATTATCTTGTTGGAAAGTTGGATCTGCCAGGGTGTCAAGATAGGGTAAAAGATGGGGTTCTAGAACTTCGGGGAGATAACGCTGCGCGTTCATGTTACCTCTGATGAAGATTAAAGGTGACCTGGAACCATAAGCTATAGCACCCCAAACCATAACTCCAACAGTGTGATGAACATGTCTTTCAACAAAAAACTGTGGATTCCTCCTTTCACCACGTCGCCTTCTAACCCTGGCACAACCATCGTGCATGCCTAAACAAAATCGAGACTCATCACTAAAGACAATACTGTTCCATTCCTGATCCCAGAGTGACCGTTGTCTGCACCACTCAAGGCGATTACATCAGTGTTCTCGAGTTAAAGGGAGGACCCAGTGTGGCCGGTATGAAAACAAGCCAAAACTTCTCATTCGTCGGTAAACACTTCGCATGCCAACAGGTCTTCCGTGTTCTGCAAACCATTCATTTGCAATGGACCTGGTAGTGGAGAAACGGTCCCTTAATGCCAATAATCTTAGGCGGCGATCTTCATGGTCTGTTGTTCTACGGCGGCGTCCAGTGCCCCTTGCTCTTTGCGTACGGCCTTCTCGAAGCCATTCCTGACAACACCTGTGTCTACACTTCTTAGCACTCTAACAGCAATTGCTCGAAAAGAAAGTCCAGCTTCCCGAAGTCCCACTATACGGCCCCTATCAAACTCAGTAAGTTGACGAAATCGTACAGGTCTCCGTACTCTAGGCATCGTAACCGATCGTAAAGGATGTCAAGAACCAAAATCCGCCAACGTTGATTCTTTACTGCTGCTGAAATATTCATTTTTAGAGCGTTAGTGAATTAAAAAAAAGCAGTATAAAAACCGGAATGTCCAACTGATAAGGCTGAAAATTTTTTCACTTGTTATTTACAGTAAGATAAATACATTCACCAACTTTCATTAAAATAAAACCATTTAAACTGGGTGTTCGGATGGATTTATATGTCAATTATTGATTTTGATGTGTATATTTCATTTTGCCTTCCTATGAATATTATGAATTCCTTCTACCATCCTCGACCAACCCCATACAACTTATTATAAATTGTCTTTTAGTGAATAAATATTATTATTAATTATTATTATTAGATAAAGTATGCTGCGCAAAGCAATACGAATATCAAATATGTTCAAAATACGGGTTTTGCTAAGACCGATGAAAGCCTTTTCTAGTAAACTATTCCGCGTTGCTGATATTACTGATCTCTAATCTAAGCAATGGCCGTATAAACCAATTTCGGAAGGATCAGCTTCATAGCTAATATACGTCGTATAAAGTAAAAGCTTATTATTTGTATCATCAAACGTACGTCCAAACAATAGCTTTTGCTTGCTTCTAGCATTGCAATTGGACCCTGTTAGCTAAAAGAACATCGCCCTAATATACTAAGTGACATATAAATCCGAACATCCAGTTTAAGTGGCTTTATTTTAATAAAATTTTGTATAAGTACTTAATGAAGCATAATAAGTAAATGATAAAAATTTCAAGATGATTGCACTGCTTTAAAGCCCTTTGACCTTTAATAATGTGTGGATGCACCCTGATGTGCTACGCATTCTCCAACGCGCCTAGGCATGCCTCTGATCAGGTGGTCAATGTCCTCTTGTGGTATCTCATTCCAGGCAACCACCAACTCCTCTCGAAGTGCTTCTAGAGTCTGAGGAGGACGTTGCAAATTGAGCAATCTCCTACCCATCATATCCCACACGTGCTCAATTGGGGATAAGTCGGGAGATCTTGGTGGCCATGGTAACAATGTGACATCATTATGTTGAAAGAAGTCTATTGTGACTTTTGCAACATGTGGTCGGGCATTATCTTGTTGGAAAGTTGGATCTGCCAGGGTGTCAAGATAGGGTAAAAGATATGGGTTCTAGAACTTCGTGGATATAACGCTGCGCGTTCATATTACCTCTGATGAAGAGTAAAGGTGACCTGGAACCATAAGCTATATCACCCCAAACCATAACTCCAACAGCGTGATGAACATGTCTTTCAACAAAAAACTGTGGATTCCTCCTTTCACCACGTCGCCTTCTAACCCTGGCACGACCATCGTGCATGCCTAAACAAAATCGAGACTCGTCACTAAAGACAATACTGTTCCATTCCTGATCCCAGAGTGACCGTTGTCTGCACCACTCAAGGCGATTACGTCGGTGTTCTCGAGTTAAAGGGAGGACCCAGTGTGGCCGGTATGAAAACAAGCCAAAACTTCTCATTCGTCGGTAAACACTTCGCATGCCAATAGGTCTTCCGTGTTCTGCAAACCATTCATTTGCAATGGACCTGGTAGTGGAGAAACGGTCCCTTAAGGCCAATAATCTTAGGCGGCGATCTTCACGGTCTGTTGTTCTACGGCGGCGTCCAGTGCCCCTTGCTCTTTGCGTACGGCCTTCTCGAAGCCTTGCCTGACAACACCTAACCACAGTGTCTACACTTCTTTGCACTCTAACTGCAATTGCCCGAAAAGAAAGTCCAGCTTCCCGAAGTCCCACTATACGGCCCCTATCAAACTCACTAAGTTGACGAAATCGTACAGGTCTCCGTACTCTAGGCATCGTAACCGATCGTAAAGGATGTCAAGAACCAAAATCCGCCAACGTTGATTCTTTACTGCGGCTGAAATATTCATTTTTAGAGCGTTAGTGAATTAAAAAAAAGCAGTATAAAAACCGGAATGTCCAACTGATAAGGCTGAAAATTTTTTCACTTGTTATTTACAGTAAGATAAATACATTCACCAACTTTTATTAAAATAAAACCATTTAAACTGGGTGTTCGGATTTATATGTCACTTAGTATATGTACCGTTTGGATTTTAACAAAATTTTGATGCAGGGTTACTACCAAGACAATCATGAAAAGGCTTTATAGTTTTTGAAAATCGATCTAATGGCGATGGAGCTATGGTCCAAAAACGAAACAAATAAAAACGCGACAAACTTCGTTTTTTGACCTTTCAGAAAGTCCCGTCAATTTTTTTTTACGGGTACAGACCCTGATTCCATTACTTTTGGGAGGAAGTTTTGGGACTTCTCGTTGAAAGAAAAAAGTGAAGAGCTAGTAGGTAGCAAAATATTGATATTATGTCAAAATAAACATTCAGCTCTGCCGCACGGGTATCACGTATCTTGAAAAGTGACATTATGCCGATCTTTTTTTGACATGATGCTGTTTCTTTTTTCACATTATGTAGGTTCTACAAGATGTTAGGTTAGCACTTAGTTGTACGTATTGCCTAAACGTTATGAGGCTTGTTATCAATCTTTGGTTCTGATGTGATGTAAAATCTGCTTCTGAGATGGCATTACTGGAGGTCTAAGCTGTAAGTGGTATGTGTTGATGATAATTACATTGGGCTCTTGTCTCAAATACACTTAATTGAGATTCAAAGCTAGAAATTAGTTGCGCAGTCACTTTTTCTTATACATTGAGAGATAAGAAATAATTATACTCACTCTACACTGTCGAATTGCAAGCTATATACATGCTAACAGTAATTACACACAACGCAAGCGCGGTGGTGCTTTCCGGTAATTCTCAAAGCTTTTCGTAATTTATAACCTTGAACATAACCCCTCTTCAGAAAGCACAACATAAAAATAACCCGTGGGGCACAGCCAATAGATACACTTCATTGGCAGCATTTTAAGTAATAATTTTCTCACACAGCAAATATCACATGCACATGCAGACCAATACAATTAATCATTGCTATGCAACCAACTTTCTTTTTCAAGATAAAAACCACAGACTAGGTCCACTCGGCCGCATAAAATGCATGCAACCAATAATGCGTATAGTTTTGTTGGGTGACTCCTCCATAGATGGACGTTCACAACGATCCTAGTGAGCAAACACGGAACGACTGTCTGGGCCCTAAAGACTACCTAGTTTGCAAGATGACATCTTATAGGTTTTTTTTGACGGTTTATAGGTTTTTTACATGATACCCGTGCCGGTGATACTAGGATATCGAGACTGGGGATAAATCTGCCTGGAGAAGCTTTTACCAGTTCTACTTACCTCACACGATTCAAAAATCGGATCAGCAATGTTCCTTCAAGCTCCTCATAATAGCAACTGCGGTTCCTTAGTATTTAGGCTTCTCAAGCAACTCAATTTTCCCGGACTATTCCACCTCCCTGCGGACAACTCCGGGGTCTGCATGGGCATCCGAGGGAGGAAGACGTCCGGGGGAACGGGACAGGGGAAAGGACGACCGTTCGTCCTTTGGCGAGTCTTTGCTTACTTTGCGAGATCCCATTATCGATCGACGAGTGTCCAGCAACGTCCGCTACAAGGGGAAGGAAGGGGAAGGGTAGAAGGGAAGGTAGATGGCGCGCGCAACGCTCTGAGGACAACGACGGTGGCCGGCCACGTTCCTGCTGCTTCCAGCTGTCATCCTAGCAGGATGTGGAGCTGCTATCCTTGCAGGCCTGGACGGTGGAAACAAGACAGCTGAATGCGACAGCATCCTAGATTTTGTTGCCAATCAGCTGGATTCATGTAAAAATTATGCGACAGATACAGGTAGACACTAGATTGGATCAAATAGATATGTCGGTGCCATATCGTTGAATTGACCATTTCAAGAAATGAGCAAGCAAAATTGTCGCATTTCATGAAATGACCAACTGAATTTGAGTCGTTAAATCGCCAACGTGTAACGGATTGGGCATGAACAATTGATCATATCGTAAAATGAGGTATCCATAGAATATTGAATAAAACCGATTGTAGTAGTGTCCTTCAGGAGCTTGTATCTCGTGAGGAGATGCCTTTTTAAGGGATCTTGACACTTTTTATGTAACGAACTAAGATAGTAGCTCGCAACTGTAAGTCTTCAAAAAAACTTTACTAAACCTTCAGACCAAACCTAATAAATATTATTTATTGAATAAGAAATTACAAATATGATGTCTCTACTGGGAACAGGATGAAAATGTCTGCGAGCCCCTTTCCACTTCAATTGGCCCAACTGTTGAAATCTTAGTTTTTTCTTATCAAACACAAATAATAAAAATGTAGTAGGTTTAAAATATTAATAATGAAAATTTTGATAATATATAGTAGAAAACACCAACTTTATCACTCCCTAATCAAATTTGCAGCATAAAAATAACACATGTTGCAATTACAGCATATCAACCTATTTTCATTGCTAAATAAGTCTATAACGCATAGGTGGCTGTGAAAAATAAAAGCCATGACAATTGTTTTTATTAATCACAGCTGTCAGAATACGTTTAAAATAGTTTTGGGTAGTTAAGGTTTTCAAAATGGGTAGAGGAAAGGTTATTAGTGAGAAAATTCGGTTACTGATAATTAATTTTTTTAATTCTGGAAAATCAAACTCAGAAATAAGTGCAACTTTGTTAGACTTATCGCGGTACAGTGTGAGAAATATTGTTAGAAGATATAACGTTACTGGTTCAGTTAATATTAAGCCACCATATGTGAAAAAAAGTAATATCACAAATAGCGTCCGAAGAGCATTAAGAAGAATAATCGTGAAAAACAGGCGTGCCAATTATTCACAATTAAGTGCTCTGTGGAGTGACGCTGTTGGAAGGAGAATTTCGAGGTCTACAACTCATAGAGAGGCCTACAAACTGGGATTTAGCACTTGCAAGGTAAGTTTTCTTATAAAAAAAAGTGAAGTAAAAACCCTAAAGTTGCACAACTTATTTATAGGCCAAAGAAAAGCCACTATTAACTCCATTGCAAAAGAAAAATCGGCTTAGATGGGCTAAAGAACATAGACAATGGACACCTCAACAATGGTGTGCAATACAATGGAGTGATGAGGCCCGATTCGAAGTTTGTGTTGGTGACAGTCGCAGTAGAGTTATTCGCAAAAAAATGAAGCATTCCATGTTGACTGAAGAGAAAAGTGAAATGTCCAGCATCCATTATGGTCTGGGGCAGTATGTCATCAAAAGGAGTAGGAAAACTTCATTTTATTGATAGAAATGTGGATACAAACAAATATTTGACAAATTTAGAAGAACCGCTTTTACCAGTGATGGAAGAATGTTTGATATCCAGCCAAGATTTTTTGTTTCAGCAAGATGGTGCAGCGTGCCATACCTCAAAAAAGGCTATAAAATGGAAGAAAATAATGTACCACTTTTGAAATGGGTTTCTAGCAGTGCAGATCTGT